ACATGATTGCTCCCTCCGATAGTTTTTTTCCTCACATATATGCACCACAGAAACTCATTCATTTAAACGAAAACTTTGAAACAAGCGAGAAGAATGACTCTGTTAAATCGAAATGCAAATTTCATTTTAAGATGTGTTAAGTATCAGAGAATATTGGGAATATACATTCTATTATCATTGTCCATCAGATAACGAACATGGCAAAAATTGCTTCTGAAAACTCTTTAAAGACTTTCTTTAACTTTTCACACAGAAACTTATTGATGTTAGTTGGTTGAGCAGTCGAATTAAATCAATTCCACATCGGAAATTCATTGTTTAATACTGGTTTTGTGACAGATTTGTCGACTAATCGATGCAACTTGGTAAGGACTTTCATAAGACTGAATTGTTTACAAACATCGGTGATTATTGATGAATGAAGTGACAGAAAATCAATCGATGATATATTTTGCGTAATGTCAAGACACAAATCCCCTGAATTTTATTTGAAATACGGCAGCTTTTCGAAGAAATGAGCTACAACAAAATCTTTTTCATTGAGCATCTCTCTCTAATATAATCAATCTACTATACTGAACACTCTCCACTGGTCTCAAGCAAATTTTTCTGAAATGGACCCCTTCTAATATGACCACTCTGTTGTTTTGAATGTAAATGCATGTTTTAGGTCGCTACCTCATTAATAAATCCTGCCAATATGAATATCATCAGAGGACGTCAATCGAGTAACGAATGCCATAATGCAGCGGATTGACTCGTTCATTGATTTTTGAGGGAAAGAAAGAGAAAAAAGTCAATACACACAAAAAAAATGACAATATTGCCTTGGTTCACTCTTTGTCGATTACTGTTTTGCTATTCACTGCGGCTTCTTGTCATAAGCTCTATCAGTCGGAAAAGATAAATCTGACGAAAAAAAAGAATGTGTTGGCTTGCATCGTGAGCTAAATAAGAAACTCAACCATCGCTTCACGTTATCTCTAACATTCTCAAGATAAATTGTTGATATATGAGTGATTAGAAAAGGAATAATAGTGTGAAACAAAAGTTCAAAGATTGTTTTAGTCAGATAGTGTACCATGATGTGCAATAGTGGTTCGTTTTGCAGCGTTAAAAGTGCAGCACAAGTGACATCGAAAACCAATATATATATATACATACGATGGAGATTCAGTAGAGTATAGAAGACTTTTCAAAGAGAACGCCAAATACAGTTGTTCATCTTCATTTAGATCATCTCTAAAGTGATCGCATCGTCATCAAAAACAATTTTTGGTAGTCGCAATGATGTTCATAATAGAAGACTTTTACTGTTTTTAAAAATCTGTATTGTTCAAAACTTTTCAGATACCGTTCTCAATGTGAAACGTTGATCCGCAATGAATATATGGTATAATTTGCTCTGCTCTTTTGACTGAGTCAATTAAAAAACCCCAAACTCAATGAGTTTGGTTTTGGAGCGTTTTCTAATTTACTTTCGGTCTATTATTCAATCAAACGGTTCATTGAATCATTCTCCATTTGATAGTCAAAGGCAGACATCCTTGTACATTTGTGGTGAAACACTTTATTGATGTATGAGATACGTTTAAAATATTCAAAATCTATAAGTGGGTTTGGATGCATGCCTACCTCTGACTAGCAAAATGAAATTCTGTCTATCAACGATTGATTTATCAAAAGAAACAATGAGAATGAGAGAGAGAGCGGATAAATATATATTCGAGTACTAGTGATATTGAGAAATGTAGATATTGAACGTCGCTGACATATGAAAAAAATGAGAAATCCTTGTTCGATACTAGTCTCTCTCCGAAAACTCCCGCTTAATGTTCTTAATTTGATAAGAATGGCAGGAGCTCGAATGTGAGTGTGGATCTTATTCCCATTCAGGACCACGCCAACACATCCACTCACAGCCCCACACAACAGTTATAGTCTCATATAACACCATATGACACTTCCAGCCTCACTCACAGCAATACCCATCATCAATGAAAACCAGTTTTCATACAAAGTAGAGAAAATAAACATATAGGGACATCAAATTTTAACATAAATACAAGACAAACTTTTTGCAGCACAAGCTACAAAAAAGGAACAAATGTAATAGATAATCAGATTAATCGTGGCAATAATTATTCATACGACTCTTTTGAATCTTAAATGAAAATTTCTGTACTGCCTATGATGGAGAGACATACACTTTTCTTCCAATTTCGCGTATTGTTTAAAATAGCTTCATGAATGTTCAGTCATCCAATATCGAGCTGTTGTGACGTTAGTTTGAATTTACATCTCACTGCTTCTGGAATCAGAAATGATACAAAAACAAGCTCTGTTAAATGAGAACAATAGCTTAAAAGCGTTTTCTTTCTTTTTGAGATACAATTTAACTTCGTTAATTCGATGAACCACAGCAGATCTTTATACATAAATAGCTTAGATGTTTAATAAATTCTTCTTTACTTGTTGTGGAATCAAGTTCGAGTAGTTGCTCTTGAAAATATACTATATCGACCAATTTGAGTGCAAACAGAGCTTTTTAAGTTCGGTCACAAAGAATAAGTACAGCATTGAAGAATGGAATGGAACTACAGAATTAAGAAAAAAGGAATATAATCATTGATAACATTGCGATCTAACCAATTCACGAGGAAACAGATTTTTCGATGTTGCTTGTTTGAGAATCTTCCATAGATAATGGGGATTCTTTAACGTCTACATAGATCTAAAATGAAACAAGACATTGTAAAAACTGTCAGGATTATCATGACTTACCTTATTCTTCAAAAGAGCTTTTTAAATCGGTTTTTTAATATTTTTCCGAAATATTTTTTGTGCCGTCGCATACTGTTCGTGAAGAGAAAGAACTTGTTCGAGCATTTGTCGGACATATTGTCAATCAAATTCATTTAGCTTCAGTTTAGGGTGTGAATGTGAATGGTTGACGCTGTACATTGTTTCTTCATCTGTACCAAAATCCACCAACACCTATACACCCCATTCCCGATCGTGTCAAGTTTTTAATTTAATTTCGATTGATATCAAATGCTAGTAGAAATATCTGAGAATAGATAAATATCGACACATTGGTTCTTTTAGTGATGAGTGCCAATCAGGATCAGGTTCTAAGAAAAAATATGAAATCCATTAAAATATTTTTTTTTGTTCTAACGGAAAATGTCATGCACGTATTTCAAAATGTTCAGAGCTGTTCTACTGTATTACGTATTAAAACAGTGTTTTCATCTATGAAAAGAACAGTCTGAATTCACTTAATTTACTAAGCGACTCAACAATAATCAGTCAACAAGGATAGCTAACAGTATATGTCAGTTAACCAGTCGAGTGAGTTCATTCGAATCCTGTTTTCACAAATGGGTACACCTCAATTCTTAATGATGTTGAATTTTTCTATTGCTTCGTTTTTCTATAATAGGATTATTTTCCTTCGTATGACCTACGGCTTGTTTAATTATTTTGCCAGATTTTACCTTTGATAGAAACATAATGCAATAGAACCAGATTTTTGAAAGCAGTATATTAATTCATTAAGTAAATGTGTACAATATCTACTGAATTGTTTTACATTATTCAAACATTAGCATTGGTCAATACAGGACCGCCAGTTCAAGAAGAACGAGGCTAGTCTGGATGGTTGAGGTTTTCATAAATTATAGAACATGTTATATTTCTTTCGTAGAGCTCGAAATATTTTTCTTGTTGCCCATCAACTTTCACAACGATTCTTACTAAAAACGATTGACTGGTTTTCTCTGAAATGTTCAATCTGTTCCGTCGTTTTTAACTCTTTCAAATCAATCCTAACTCAATAGACATTCACCGATTTCTCTCATATGCAAAACAATATTCAATATATCCAATAAATAATGAAAGATATAGAATATGTAGACAAATATTTGCGTGTACGTGACAGCGACATCTTTCTGTTTTGATTGTGATGTTGTAAACGAGTGGTGTATGTGCAGGTAAAGTGAAGAACGAAGAATAATAAAAGTCACATGGCTGCTAAATACGACGTAACAACACTCGATCGTTATTTGGACGAAGATTTAACGTTAATAAATAATAAGAATGTGTGGAAAGAATATAAACGTGGCGCGCAATATAAAGACGATATATGCTATATTTATAAACCACCGGGTGATTCTATTTGGTGGATTAAATTAGTCGCACATGTCGAAAATGGTTCAATGGCAAATATCGAAGAACTACTTGATGGCAGCCTCAAAGAACGTCATCCAGAATGGCACGAACTTTTTATCGATGGTCGAATAGTACACAAGAACGAGGATGGTCGAAGTGAAATTTGTTATTTTCAGTAAGATTTATTGCGATAAAAACAAACTTTATAGTTTATCATGTGACTCGGATCGAACTCGTCAAATTTATTTTTCCTTTTTTTCCATGTAGTTTCATAGATTTGTTCTGCATTTTTTTTATCAAAAAAATGTACTGTAAAATTCTCAGCAAGAATATAAAAGGATGTTTTATCTCAAAACGAAGTTACTAAAAAAAATTATGAAATAATATTGTGAAGCTTCAATATGGCTCAACTTTCTAAACTTTTTTTTTCTCTTGAAAAAGTCAGAGTGTTTTCTTAAGTTGCACAAATAAAAATCGTCAAGTCAATTTTTTCGTTCATTCATTCGAGAACAAGAACTTATCCAGCTTATGAAATATGAATGCAGCACGCCATATAAAAAATTAAAATTAAACCTCATACACTCACTATTAACCCATGCACCTGAACTTTCTTGAATATTCCGAAACCTCTAATCCAAAATTATGATTTTTGCAAAATCTCAAAAAAACAATCATTTTCTGCTTTACATGGTGATACAAAAACATTTTTTATTACAACAAAAATACAAAGTTTTTTCAAGCCTTACAAAATGACTAGTTAGCTTTTTTTATACTTGAA